CAACGGAATTCTGTTGTGAAGAGCAGGTAACCACACTTGTGTGATTTTGTTTATATGGCAAGGCAGGACAAACCCACTCCTGAATTGATTGGAACACTTGACTCATCGATTGGAATACTCCACTCCAATTACCCTCTTTTCACCATGTCATTATCCTAGAGGTTCACATACTTTTCCCCCCCCCATCAGTGACCGTCCTTAATTAAACCATTCGCTCAATAAAGATATGACAATGTGAAATGTTGTATGTGTCGTTTGTTAAATAAGACTGTCTTTATTTCTAATGATGACACATTTTAGGAGCCGTTTGTGCAGAAATCCAGATAATTCCAAAAGGGTTCCCAAACGTTCTCACAACTGTATAATCTATGAAGTTTGAATCAGATTTGTCCACTCCTCCATGTAAAGGTTATCCATGTATAGGGATGTGAATCTTTGTTTAATAAACATTTTCAAAAATGACAGTGATTGTTATTTCTAATTGAACATCAAAAGAATGTTCTTGAGCATCATGACATGATTTGGGGGCAAAAACTGAGTCTTCGTGACATGATAGTCTGCGCACAATTTTTGAAGACAAAAATAAACAAAGTAGATATAAATTAAAATCAATTTAGTTTCTAAAATTGGTTTTGAGGTTCTAATTGTATAGTTTTAACTAACTTTATATAAAAACTGCCATTATTATCTTGTCAAACTGTAAATACTTAGCCAACTTGGCAGAATCATTCCAATTAATGTATCCTTCAGATATAAGTAAAGGTTTATTCCACTCAGAAAAGAAACAATATTTCAACTGTGGAGCCTTCTTCTGGTCCTTCAGATATGAAAGGCTAATAACATTTGGCAAACATCAGATTTAGGACTCTTTAAGACTTTTCAAACGGAAAGCAAAATGCATAGCTTTAATCTTCATTAACTCACATGAATAAAACCAAGAAACAGCAGTTAGTCTACTAACAGTTTTTCCTTGAAAAGTCTTTCTTGGAAAATGACGCACAGTCAGGTAGGTGCCGCCGGAAGTTGTCGAGGTTTCTAACCCTGCGGCAGGTTTTGTACGGAGCTTTGACTGCACTATTTCATTCATGATTTTTCTGTGAAAGGCCTCCAAAGCTTGTACAGGCTGAGGTCTGCACTTGGCATTGCAAGGACTGCCGCTGCCACTAAATACTGGTGAATCAAGCCTTTTTTGAACAGCACACAGTGAGAGACAGAGGTAGCAAGACTAGGGATTCCAGACAAAGCCTACTGTAAGAAAGTGATACAGCCATGGTGTCAGCTGTACCTGTTTCACGCTGAAAATGATTCCTTCGATTACTTCATTTTTCTCGGGCGTGACGCTGCGGAAATTCCACAGCACACCCATTCATGCCTGATGACACTGCAGGGAAACACTGCTGTGTGCTGTAGACACCAGGCCTTAACCATGGCACTGCAAACCTATTCGCCAATAACAATCAAGTGGAAATAAACGCGTTTAAAAAAAAAAGAGTGAAGTGCCGTTTCTGTTACCACAAACTTGTGAATTACTGGATCTGAACAATTTCAGATATGGTAAATCCCTTGGTAGAACTGAACACAAGTGATTATGTACGGTGGGAGCTCAGATCTTGAAGGTTAACCGTCTGGCTTTTAATGAGGAACGTGTAAACCATGTGAAAACAGTCTAAATATAATGTGAGTCACTGCAATGCCATGGTTGTCAGAAGGAATCAAATCTTAGGACACCTACAGGCAGGCTCCCCAATTTTGCATGCTGCAACATTTTTCCTGTGTGCACAGAGCAACTGTTTAAGGTTTTGGAACACGCTGGCTTGCAAATGAAACACATACCGCATGCTGCAGAGTGAATGCATGACAGTGACATCTGATCAGAGCCATTTCGACAGAATACTGCATCTCTGCACCCTCTACTAAAGTGTTCGGCGAGCTGCACAAAGCGACTTAACGGACATTGTTCCAAGGCATCTCTTTGAAAGAAGAATACGTGTTCACCCCCCCCCCCAGACACACCCAAGCTCGACTTTCAATAAACCAACAAACAACTACCAGAATCCGATTCAATGGGCTGAGTGTTTTTCTTTTTAAATCCTGTCAAGTATCCCTGGGGCAGCATGGATCATCAGGTGCATGCGCTTTGAAGGCAATGCCAAAGCCTAGCAGAACCTGAACAGGAGCTCAGCACACTATGGAATGTTCTTCGACGGGGTCAGATTCCAACCCCGATTACATTCCAACTCAATGCATCAGAGTCATTACTGCAAGGGAGGGACATTCTGGGTGCTGTGACCTTGCCTACATTCTTAATTTGGAAGAGACTTTATTACTGCTGAAAATCAAAAAGTTGAGAACACATCCATGTCATTTGTGCACTTTCTTTTGCTGGGGAGCATATCATTATGAAATGATATAAGCAGCCTGCCAACGTAGTCTCAGGTTTTTCAGACTTCAAAGCACTCTGTGATAAAGCCAAAAGTGTACTGGGGACAGTGAGACATGGAACAGTTCCCTAAGCTCATATACATGTGGGAAAACAATGTCAAAGGTGATATTTGGAGATAAAGCAACACATACACTACCTATATGGTAAAATGTGAAAAAAATAATACAGTATCCTTGAGTATACTACACTCTTAACTGTGTTATACCACTTCTTGGCCTGGGCAATTAAGAGAAGGACTAGTACTCAATTTCATTTAAAATGGGCTCCTAAAAAAAAAAATTTCAGATCGCAAAGTCAGCTCTATTACTTCCATGACGTGCAGACTAAGTTGTTTCCAGCAGTTTCCATGAGAAATGGCCAGATAAAGTCTCCAATATGTCTAGAGTGCAGCTCACAAAGAGATCGCTTTCATTTCTGTATTACAACCAGTGGTTAGGCATTCATCTGTACTAATAATACCATAGACTCTCTGATTCTGATTTTTATGGGTCTCCTCTCTGTGGGTTTATAGCAGATCACAGGATAAAAGAACACACAAAGACTGTGCCGACAATTTCTGAAACATACCATTTCTGGAGCTGCGTCTAGCAAAAGTGAACCAGAAACCTGTAATAACATAGCTTGATTTGGTGTTAACAGATAGAAAAAAAAGTAACTTGATGACAAATTGTGAAAAAGTCTTGGGCTTCCCTAGGTTAGATGACTCAAACCAGGCAAGTCTTTTGGCAGGATTGTAACATTGATAAAGTGCAACTTTCATCACATGAAAGTTCAGTACATTCCTTTACTCTGAAAGGATGGAAAATAATCTGAAAGCTTTCACTATGGACTGTGAGAGGAGAACAACATGAGATGAACATGAGTTGCAATCCCTTACTCGTGCGTAGATACGGAAAGTGGGATACCATATCTCTGAAACAAAATGTGGGATTTCAAGTATTGTAAAATTCCAAAAATGTACTACAAAGCAGAGAAAGAGTAGGATTTAGATGCACAATTTCTGAAGCAGCATGTGCGTGTCAGCCTTGTAGTATTTAAGGCTGCTTAATTAAAACACTTAAGGGGACATTTTTACAGTAAACTGTCACAGAAGTCAACGTATAAAAATTCCATCACAAAGAAGCAAGACGTTTCTGCTTTATTTTGTTCTTTTCCTTCTTTATGGCAGTATTAACCTACTCATGTGACAATTTCCAACCATTCCATCTACTGGTTCTGTAAAACTGGAAGCACAATAGCCTGAGGAACAAGTGTTTCATGCTCTAACAAATTCACTAACAGCTCATCCTTAATCCCAACCTGAGCAAGATCCATTACCCGCGTATTTCATTTACAGAATTATCAGTTTATCATCATTATCTCAAAAAAGAATGTCGGTTTCATTGAACAGTTGCCAACACGAGACAAAAAGAAGGCCAAAATGTGACTTCTTAACTACGAATTAATTTAACACTATTTACAGATGAACTAAAACTTTTACTGAAGTTTAAAGGCACACTGAGCAATAAGAAAAGCTGAAATCTCCATTCATACAAGGACAAAACTTGCAGCACAGTTATCCCAGCTTTGACTGCCTCAATTAAGATTAAGTCAGTGGTGCGATCCAGGACATTACACAACTGTATGCTTTACATGTTTTAACTGTGCAGAGGTAGAGAAATTTGATTTTTTTTTCGTTTTGCTTTTTTCCCGTTATGCACTTTTTACCACTTACTACACATACAGTATACTGTATATGGCACCAAAGACATAAACAAATCTTCAAACCCAACTAGCACCTGAAAGAATCTTCCAAAATTACAGCACCCCAGGCAGACTGATCCTGCACACAGCAACACAGCAAGCCTTTTCAGTTTCAGCTTACACAGCTGCAGGAAGTACGTCTAACACTGAACTAAACCAGGTCAACAATCGGTTAATTATCACAACGACACAAGATCCAAAAACCAAAAAATTGACCAAAAGAACCGAAAAGGGTTTTATACTAGATGGGGCTGGGCATGAGCTTTAAGACAATGTTGGCAGACAATCTGCAGCTAACCGCTTCATTATACTGGTCACAATGATGGTGATCATTCACCAAACCGCATATTTCCTAGATACAGGTTCCTGAAGGGATATGTTGAACAATGACACTGGTGTCTCACTGGGTGCAACTCTAGAGCTAGAGGCTCCAAGGCTTGAGCAAAATCATGAGCAAACCCATTAGTGAGGTAGACTTTGAACTCACTATAAGCTGTCCTTGAAAGATTACTCAAGCTCCCATCGTGGGCTGGATTCTGAGAAACAAACTGAGACAATGGAGTTATTTTAAGCAACATTTTGAACTGAAAAAATCTTGCAGATCTGTGAAGCCTCATAACACAGAATAAGACTATTCTTTATACCTCGCATCTTTGTCAACACCTCATTAAAGAAGTGTCATGTGGCAGCAGGGAAGGCATCCCTCTCAATTATTTTTTATATGCAGAATCACCATTTACTTTTATTGTCAATTTTTATTTCCATAGTCTGCATCACCAGTCTTTAATGAACTTGGCTTCCACGACAAACATACCCGCTGCACAAGAGAAATGAAGACCATAGGCACGTCGTTCAATAAATTTTCATGGAAAGCAGCTAGCTGATGAAATCTTGCAACATTAGCTAGCAGATATCACTGCCAGGACTTTCGCTAGCTGAGGCTTTTGACGGCCAGCAAGTCCTATTCGCTGCTCACACCCCGAGCTGAAATCATAAAAAGCAAACAAAAACGAAAATCAACAAAACTGAATCATGGATGCATGGGAGCTCACAGTTATGCAATAATAATGATGTAGGTTGATTTGAACCTTAAACATTTACCCCGCTTTCATGATCGCAGTAACAGTTCTCAGCGGGAACAGTGCATGAAGCAAATGGTTTACAAAAATACTTTGATTAGGCCCAATATTCAGTTATTCAAAATATATGCAAATGTCATACATTCATCAGGTAGAGCATGAGAACACTGTAGCATGTTTTAAATACATGTACTGTAGGCGACCTTTCTATTTAGTTAAGCTACACAAAAGTTAAATCCTATTTATCCTTTTTCTGGTTGTAGTTTCACCTTATTCCCGATCATATGACTACAGTCTACAGATCTATGCCAAAATTCAGTGTGAGCAAGTTGCTTTTTGTTTCTGATGAAATGCATCAACGTCTGAAGACCACACCCTTAACTTCAAAACCTTTTACATTTCTTAAGGATGGCTGTTTCATTCACAAGTCAAATATTATTATTATTATTATTATTATTGTCCTACACGTAATGGGGTCTCCCCTCTACCAATGTGCAGCCCCCAACCTGGATGGTGTGATGGCACCCATAGTGTGCACAGTATGCTCACCACACACCAGCTATCAGTGGGGAGGAGAACAGAGTGATGAAGCCTATTCATGGATGGGGATTATCAGGAGGCCATGATTGCTAAAGGCCAGGGGGAAATCTGGCCAGGATGCCAAGGTAACACCCCTACTCTTTTCGAGAAAAAAACTTGGACTTATAATGACCACAAAGAGTCAGGACCTCGGTTTTATGTCTCATCCGAAGGACGGTGCCTTTTTACAGTATAGTGTCCCCGTCATTATATTGAGGCATTAGGACCCACACAGACTGCAGGGCGAGCGCCCCCTACTGGCCCCTCTAATACCTTTTCCCAGAAGCAACCTTAGTTTTCCCCAGGAGGTCTCCCAGCCAGCTACTGACCAGGCTCACACCTGCTTAGTTTCAGTGGGCTGCCAGTTGTGTGTTGCAGGGCAATATGGTTGCTTGCACAGCAGCATTACAATTCAGAAGCATTCAGCATTGCTTCATCTTTCTAACTAAAAGAGATGAAGTTACCAAGTCTCCTTGCACTTTGTATATTGATATAGTATGACCATGAACAAATGTTAATTCAAATTATTAAATCTGGTTAGGCACTGGGAAGCAATGAAAAAAAAAGTAATCTAACAAGCCGTTGCATCTCTTTTAATCTGTTTATGCCGTTATTCTTCTGCTCTTTGTTATAAATATGCTACTGTATAGTTTTGAATTAAAATCACACACCAGTGTCTGTGTTCCATACAACTACTACACATGCACATCTACATTTCTTTCTGTGTGCACAGATGAGCAGACAACACAGGTGACCTGGTTTAACCCACAAAGCAAAGACAGGGAAGACTAACAAACTGTGCATAGATCCTTTGGATGACATTTGGATGACTAAAAAGCACATTTTTTCTCATAGACAGTATAGGTCTATCTCAGGACGGATACAGCACAACAACAGAATTTCTTTCAATATGCAGCCAAAGAAATCTTTCCAGTGATGGAGAAACCCAAGTTACTGTGAGTAAGAATAATTTGGATTCAGAGCTCCATTTACAGTTAATGTTCTAATCAAGCCAGAACATGGCACAAAGCTTTGAAGCAGCTCCTTTGTAGAAACTCCCACCGATTTCAAAACAGTCCAGCTGTGAGCATGATTTAGGCTTCTAACCTGAAAAGCTACAGAAGGCTGGTACAGTACTCTATTTGCAAAAACTCCCAACCAATAAAAAACAAGCTCTGTGACCTGCAGAAGACAAGTGGAGACAGCTAAACTTCACTTAATGGCATAACCAAATGGCTGTAGAAGACTAAAATAAGGTGCTTAAAAATTAAGGTTGCAAAGTTTTTTTTTAGATTTTCTGTTTTCATATAAAAAAACAAATAAAAAAAGGAAAAAAATGTAATTAACTGTAGGTCAAACAAACAGTTGAACAACCATTGTATTCTGGGCCTTTAGCCTAATAATTGTATACTATAAATAACAACATTGAGGTTTTCATTAAGGAAACTTTTACTCAAGATGTAACGTATCAGTCTGTGCCACCCTGTCCAGCTGTCCATGTGTGTAGCACTAAGTCTAGTAGTGTGTCAGGATTCCCTTGGTGTCTGAAACATCATAATGCTCAATATTAGTATATTATAATTTCCTGCTCAGAGAAAAAACTCAATACATATTTCTACAAGGAATACCTTGCAGAATGTCATCAAAAAAGAGGAACCTAGATGCAACCAGCCTATTAAGAAATCTTTGTGGTTTATATTGCCATTTCCTTTTTCATTCTTCTACAAAACGAGATGAAACATTTATTAAACTACTCCTGTAACATACTGTAGTACTGCCAGTTTAGTAAAGTGATTATCTCCAGAATTAGTGGCACTGCTCAGTTCTGCCTACAATGCTTTCACATGAATGGGCTGTAAATATAGGCTTTCTGCATCAAGCCCTGTTTGATGCACAAGTTTATGGTTTCAGATACTGAAAAGTCTGCTTCATTTCAAAATTGTACCCAATACATGGGAATGGTGCAGACTGCTCATTTTCGTTTGGCTAAGCTATGGAGCACAGACGAAGTTGCAAATTTCATGCAATAATGCAAAAGCTCACATAGCACTCCTTCTCCATAATGGTTTTCAATGCTCACATTTAATATTGTTTCACATAACAATGGAGCCTTTTCTCTGTATTCACACGACACTTCCAAATCTAGTGGGAGAAACAGAATTTCTAGCAAGTATGTCAGAGGTGGTCAGAGGAGTTTTGAGACTTTTTTGGCTTAAGCGCTGGCTCAGGACCCAGAAGTGCTACTTTAAAGTCTCAAAGTGGTTTGCACAGAGCTACACATTTTCACATTGTGCAATCCTTAAATAAATCAGAATGACTCAGACATAACTGAGATTGTCTTCAGGTGAGTGGGCTGATCCTTAGAAGTACAACCTTGAAATCTAGCACTTTTGTTTTGTAAATAACCCCAGAAAGCCTTACTTTTCCTCCAGATATTCTAATTCATTAGTTAGACTACAGGATGTCTGAAATTTGTCCTTCAGTATTCATTATTGAATAGTACACACTCACTAATAGATGGCCACTGGGAAGCTAACTGCATTAGGAAGCTTCCTGTTACCACCTGCAAAATCGAATCGCTTATAACTGTTTCTTTGTGCCCTGGCTTTAAACCACTCCTAGACTCGTCTGGCAACCTCATGACAATTGAGTTTCAGCTAATACATGCTTAATGAAAGTCACAGCTATCTATTTAAACTGCCAACTATTCAATTTCCGGCAAGAGTTTTTATTTTTGAAACCCTCATAAAAACAAGCAAAGGGAAAAGCAGTCGGCAAGATCCATGAAACGTTTAGCTTCCTGCAGCAGTGACCATCTTCCAAATAAGTCAATGAAAAAGAATTCATAATTCAACTAAATGTGAACTCTAATAATGAAATTAGAGCATCCTACAGGACAGCACAGCACTAAATTGCATAGATCAAGTTTTCCCATAAAAAGCAAGCAAACAATCAGCACATTGGTCAGGAGCTCAAGTTCTACTTGCTATTGATAAAAGCAGCAGCAGTCATGTGGCTACAGAAACTTCCTGTTGAGAACAGCCTACCTTTGCTCCTGCTGGATTGATGGATGTCAGAAAGATTCAGATACACTTCAACCTCCAGACAGCAACTCTGCACAACCGCAGCTCAGGCAGGCTCGTCAACTCACGCCCAAAGTAATCTGGCCTGCACAGGGGCCACCCCAAACAACAAATGTCACTGATACCAGGAAGTTCCATCTGGTCGTGTTTTATAGTGAAGCCACCAGTGACAGACGGCACAGTCATTTCCAGCACGGTGTGACCACTGCAGTGACACAGCACACCCAGCCTTGGTAACTGGGGAGATGTTGCACTAATAAACCACTACTGATGGCTCAATAGCTTTTAAGCTGGGATGGTTATTAATGGCCATCTTCCTTCTCTCTTTCTTTATCCACAGGTATTGCAGTCCTGTTTGGAAGCAGTCATGATCAAACAGGCTCCCTGCAGTTTGTTTTTTCACCCCCCGCCCTCACCCCAGCTGTGATACTTAACACAGTACTACAGTTTCAAGTGGCATAAATAAAACCACAGCTCCCATTATAGAAATGCAACCTTGTATATTTAGTTCTCGGAGACACTACTTTTTGAACTCCTGGGAACTGTTCCACAGTTATTACCTAGTTAAACAACATAGGCCTCTCCTCCCCAGCTGAGCTGCTGAGCTTGTGAGTGACCTACCTCTGGCTCTTCGGACCATTTACTTGTCACCTGACTCTAGAGATGAATAAAACAGCACGGCCCTTCTGAATTACCAATTCACCTGTCAGCTGTGTGTCAGTTACGCAGACCACTGTGGCCAGTCCCCGCTATTGAATATAGCTACATTGCACTCCGGCTCTTGTTTTATTTATTTTTATTTATTCTGTTTTTTGCGTCATTGTTAATAATGGTATCACTGATATGGTATAAAAGATATAAGAATCTGAGGGACTGTGGCAGTCCAGGAATAGAACAGGCTAGCGCTCAATGGAAAACCACTGGTCAAATTATTAATACAAGCAAGATGTCCATCAGCATCTCAGCCAGAACCATTCTGCAGATCCAATTTCGATTTAGAACTAAGCTGAGGAACCTGTGTGTCTATCCTGTATACTAAAATCCCTCAGGGAACTTAAAAAAAACAATGCTACTCACATAGGCTAAAATAATTACTCTGTGTAATTCTGCCCAATGCGTGTAATAGTATGTTATGTTAGGAAAAGAAGGCAGCAGGAATTGCAGTGAACTAAGAACATCAGTCTTGCAGCAGGGACCTGTGGCAGGAACATGAACAATGAACATGTAGATGTTAATTCCACACTGAAAGGTAGAAAGAGTAAAACATTTCAGCTGTGAATGCACCTAAATAAGCCAAAAGCTTGAGTTTAACACTTCCTTTTTTCAGTTGCTGTGAACTCTTTATTGATTCTTATTAGTGTTGCACTTTAGCTTTAGGGTGTTTCAGTAGGCTCAAAACCATTTGGGTGTACCACTGTCTCAAGATATGCTGGACGAAAAGCTCATTTCTACTGCCCGTGACGAGTCAGGTTTCCAGAGGAGAATTATACTTCACTGCCATACATTTGAATCTCATCTTAGAAACGATGAAAACAAATGTTTTCACAAAAAGGATTACGGTATAATTCCATATAAGGGAAATAGCACTGTTTGTTATGACGAAGAGTTTCCATCTTGGGAGTGTAGCAATTCTTGTTTCTGGAGAAGTAAGAGTTTGTTGTGGAAGTAGCTTTGGCAATAGGTGTTTCGAAATACTGTATTTTGACATCTTTGCTGCCAGATTTACAATACTACTATGAACACTGATGATGGCAATACGTATAAAAGAAGAAAAAAAAATCACTGAGTGGAAACAAGTTAGAATCTGTAAGGATTCAGGCTATAGAAATGAATCTGCAATTAGCTTCCTAGATTGCATGTGCATTATAACATAATAATTAATACTCAGAATGGATTATAAAAATATGCTAGGAATCAATGCTTGCTGATTACTGATTTATTACACTTGTTCCCAAGTAAATTACAATACTGTGACCCCATTTCTAAAAGTGGTAACACACTTTGGCATATAACCACATTGTGATGCCAGGACACCACTAACGGCTTGCAATGTATGCTTGCTTGATCGCAAGCCAAGAGCAGTATTTCTGCTCACTTATGGATATAAAGAGTCACGGCAGATGGCATGGCTTCACTGGCAAGTCTTCTTTCTTAATGGACTACAGTTCAAAATAATTTATGGTTCTGCTTTTTCCTAACAAAACACTTGAAACCTAACTAACCTGTCTTTCTAACCTGAAAAAAACAAAAGAGAAGCCGGATATGCATTGATACATACTTCATTCATGGCTTAACAATTATCACATCGCTAAATTTTCCAATCAAGCATAATATCCTGCTGAATGGACTGCAACATTAATGCAACTTTTGAAAGTTTTCAAGATTAAAACAAGGAAAAAGTGGAAAAAAAAAATCTCCATAGAAAATCCTGCTTTACAGTGTCCCAGGTCCATGCTGAAGCTCTTCTGTGCCAGGCTATTTTATTTCATTAGATACTGGTTACCCATTCACGGCTCTGGTCTTGAACAGAACTATTCCATTTCCTGTGGGGGGTGTTAACACTACAAAAACCTTCCTGTTACAGCTAGCAGTTCTATTTATAAATATAATAGCAATTTCGTCCAGGAAAACATTCACGGAGGTTATTCATTTAAAATATAAAATCATCATAACTATTTTTACATTAGCTATGGAGATAAATATAATATTTTCTTGACAACACTGTGTGGGAAAATATTGTAATATAGCTGTAGCAAGTTGAAGTACCTTTCAAAATAAAAACCTTTTACACTTTATCAAATATATTCCTCTCTCTCTCTTTATAATCTCCCTTTAATTCAATTTGTGCTTGTGTTGAGATTGCAACCTGATATTTCATCCTGCTGAAATATGCTGTGCAGTTGAGATCCTAAAATTGTGATTTAAATTGTATTGTGTCTATGATCTGTTGGCTATTATACATCTTTCCTTCATTGTAGTACTAGTGCTGGGCCTTCATAAAACATGAACTGGAAGCTAGGATTCTGAAATTGATCAAGGGAAAGGAGTGGCGAATACATTTCCAGGCTTTTCAAGGGTGTCCTAATGTAATAGCAGTCTTTCCCTTGGACCGGATTTGCTCTGATGTGGAGCTGTCCTGTCTGTGCCCCAGCTCCTTGTCAATGGCAATGTCCAAGACTTGGCTGAAAACTAAAAACGAACTGTAGCTTATAACATGCGTTCAGATATAATTATGATGCAAGAACAAAATAAACTAAACTAGTTAAATCTGTGGGTGAACAAGTGACACAAACTGAACAGTGTATCTGTTTTTAAGTCTAAGATAGTTCTTAATTACTCTAAGAAAGCAGAAGGTTCAGAGCAATTGCATTCACATAGACAGCATATCTACTAAAAATGCTTCCCAGTCATCTTCCAGTAAACCATTTCAGAAAAAGAAGTACTGAACAGCAGACTGATTTTGCTCATAGCTTGTCTATTTAGTAAGTCTGGATCTTTTGAGGCTCAATAAATTCCATATTGACTCCGCAGCCTGAATTAAGACTGTAGAGCGAAAAAGATGTGGAAACGAAAATTGGAAAAAAACTAAATCAACACATTAGGTTTTATTCGGTGGTCTTTCAAACTGGAAAATTCAAAAATCAAAGCTAGCCATCTTATAAAAGCTGCTCAACCAGTTGAATGTACCATCCCTCACACTGCAAGGCTGCCAGGACGCTCACTTCAGGCGCTGTACTCAGACAGAGAGCAGCTCCGTCCTTCCAGCTGGGAAGGATGAAAGTATGCACAGAAATGGTTACACTGGAGGGCCAACTGGAGATGCTCAGATAATCTGATACCAAAGCACAGCTGAGTTAGAAGCAGGATTATAGTTTGCATATCATCTCTAGGACTGGAGATGAGCAGGCACCTCCGCCCCCAGCTACAGCATAACCACTGAACAAGGAGCGTCAGTGGCCTGGAGGAGGAGGAGAGTGGGTGGATTCTCAGGCTTCGCTCGGGAAACCAGCACAGGCCCACACCTACTGACGGAAACTGAACCAACTGCCTCGCGATTCATTTTTTGCCAGTGGAGCCGTTTCTTTAAGGTAACAATGTTTTTGGGAAGTACTCTCCATCACACCAGATAAATCAAAAAATGTAAAGAATTCTGTTCAATTAAGACAGTGTTTCAAATGTTAGGCTTAAAGAGTTTTTTTTTTATCTTGACAGTAAACTTCAGCAGGAGTAGTTAATCAAAGGGGATAAAATGAGCACATTGTATCTAATCAGGTAATCTCTCACTAGTAAAGATAGTCAAACCAAAGAGAATGTCCTTGGCAGACCACTAAAGAGCTTCTACTATACTTCTTTTAACTGTTGCTACACTAGTTGAGCAACTGTGCATGTTGCAATACTTGTAAGACTGCCAGATGATGTTAAAAGGATTTTAAAATGTGAAATTCTCTGACAAAGCTCATTCCTCTCAAAATCAGCTGCAAAACAAAACCATAGTGGTTATACCGAAAGTATCAACATTTTTTAAAGCTTTTATTAAAGCAGGAAGATGAAGCTCTGGTACTTAAGTGTGACAGCAAAGCATACTGTATGTCAAAATTTTGAAATACTAGGAGTCATATAAACCAGAAGAACTTGTTTTTTTTGTTTCATTATACAATCTGACAAAACAAATTATAACTTAACTATCATAAGATCTAAAGCAACCTTCTGCTGAACCGGGAGGAGCAAACATAAATGAATTAAATCAGCCGCTAAGGTATAATATCACCGAGCTAAAGCCATTCCCTCGTACTGATGGATATATCCAAAGAAATCAAATCCCAGTCTTCTGGCTTTTGTCGCCCAGAGGGACTTCCATCTCGGCTTAACAAAAAAACCCTGCCATCCTGTACTGTTGCTCATTTCTCCGAATCTGGGTTAACAATAGAAGAGCCTTCAGATTCAGTCAGTGAAGAGACTGAGTGGGGACAGGCAGCTCTTCTCAGCAGAAGAAAAGGCTGAAGTCTCTCTTGCACATGCCGCTGTCACATTAAGACACATTTTCGGCAGGCCTGCTTTCCTGCATCTTGCTGCGAAGCCTGACTACAGCTGACAGCTGCATTGGA